GGGGGGGAAGCTACGGCATGTGGAGGGTAGGGCTGATTGACGACAAGAAGTTGTAGGTAGGGAAGAGTGCGGTTGCGGGTATTCTGCAGGAATTTGGCTGGGGGGTTGGTAAGCCTGGCAGCAATAGGGAAGGAATGCAAGAGCAATGACAGAAAAGGGGAAGATACACACCACCTCGGGATGAGTTACAACCATAGCAACTTCTTGCCGTCGGATACAACCCTAGAAGGGAAAAGGGCGATGCTGGATGGACATCTCAACTAAACAAAATACAACATATTTAAAATAAATTAAGATAACTATGAGGGGGGTTGTAGCAGCCCTCCCAGCCCTAATTAGGGCCGACCAGTTCAGCCTCTTTGTGAACCGGCACCCCTTTCTAAACTAGCAGCTCGGTTTAGTCCCCCTGCAGCCCCACATCAATATTACTATTATTATTTTAAAAAAAATCGAATAATTAAACTGGTTTAAATGTAAAAATTTATGATTTAGGTGTTCGATATGTAAATACATAGGAATGTGTGGTATGTATGTAAATCTTTATTACTTTTAATTCAAACAAATGAAAAATTTTGATGGTTTTATAGATTTGCTAAGAATGGTCGTGATGCTATACTAGAGAAGCACAAATTCATGCTTAGCAGCATGTCTATAGGAGGAGATAAATAAAAAAAAAAAGGAAGAAATGAAAGGAGTAGAAATTTGAAAATTCCCATCCAAATCTAGTTTTGTCAAAGAATTTAACTTTTGATTTCCATTTTTGTTTGTATTTTATCCTAGTCTCCCTTTCATCTATCCTATTGTGTCCACAGGTGGAATAGAGAGCAACCAGCTTCAGTTTCAAATTTGATTCTTTTGAAATTTGAAGAGGTATGCCGCTTGCATGCATTACTTGCTGCCAACAAACATTTTATAAATTTCTTAATTCAATATTCAACTTATGCATTTTGAATGCAACGTAGAATTATCATTTCTTTTTGTGCAAATTATCATGTTTTGATTTTCTTTAGGCTGACGCACACGAGACAACCACTATTGAAAATATAAAGGAACAAGAACCTGAATTCCATGACATGGTGACTGCTGTTCTAAAGAGGGCCATGGTGGACTTTATGCTGTAAGAAAACAGCACCTTAGATTGTAGAATTCTATGTTTTTTATTAGGGGTTATTTGGTTTAATTTTATTTATATAAAAATAATTATCTAAATAAGCATGTTATTCATATAAGATATTTATCTAATTTATTATATTTAGCATTGAAATTTTCTTCATTATTTGCAATCTTTTTGTGGGATTTGAAATCCTTTCTGTCAAGATCAGTGGAAATTTTGAATTTTGGATGTGTTCGAATTGGAAGGTGTTGGGATTTATATTTTCTCGAAGCTAAGTAGAAATTTTCTAGAAATTATTCACTTGAATCAATCTAAGCATGTGTATGCTAGATTTTGAACACTTTTGAATTTACTTGATGTGGCTGTGTAGGAATTCAAATTTTTGGCAAGCCTTCCTTTTTTAAAAGTGAAGAGAATAGGAATGATTTATACCTCATAATAGTCATATGTCTTTGATTGAATATGTTTTGAGCAATGTTTGAATTGAATATGATTTGAGTAGGATTCAAATATGCTTTGAGCAATGTTTGAAGTCAGATGTGATTTATCTGTAGAAAATGCAATTGTAATTTATTAAACTATAAAATGAGAGAGAGAGAGAGAGAGAGAGAGAGAGAGAGAGAGATGTAATAGTTATAAAATGATAGTGTATGATATTGCTTACACTCCATAGGTTTTACTACAAATAAAATATAAGTTAGTCATCCGACCATAATTTAAGCACTACTTATTTTTTTTTTAAATTTCAAATGACTTGTCATACGATAAACATAAAAATCTATTTTAAGGTGGCGCTCGTCTCATTCAAAAGTTTTAGATAAGAAAAATCCATACCAATTATTGAATAGCCTTGAAATTTCCATACATTCAACAAAGCCTTGATAGAATGAGCTTAGCATTCTCTATAAGATCTATGTTAAAGTGTAAGATCTCAAATATTACTTGATATGTTTTGTTTTTATTTATTGAAAGGTATGCATGATTTGTATCAGCTCGTGGCTTCAGATTTTTCTTACTATATTGTAGAAAATTTTGAATGAAGTTAGAACAAAGTTCAAAGATAGTTCGAGTAAGATTTTAATATATTCATATCGAATAATGTGATTTCCAACGCCATCCTGAGCTCGGATTTTAGAATTGAGCAACATATTGATACTAAATTATTGAGGCATAAAACACTACTATCCTTGAATAGATGACTAAGAAATATGGATGTTTGCTGTAAAACTTTGTCATAGATCAACTATAGATGTTATGACATTGTTAGAGATAATGAGAGGCTTGAAAGAGAAAGGACCAAGTAACTCATTCAGTTGAAAGTCGACTGTCAAGCAAGTTTTTTAACTTTTATGTGCATATGTTAGGGTACTTCTATGGTTTTTAGCTCTTATGTCAAGCTAGGATTTTTAAGTCTTCATCTACTAGAAAGATCAGTAGATAAATTCCTTATGGTTGAAACTTCTAATTTTTTGCCAATTAAACAAACTTATGTAATTTCACAGGGCTTTTTTCAATTATTTCATCGACTCTGATATTTTGCATATTTTCATGAACATCTTTTAGCCCAACTTAGTCCATTATATTGAGGATATGAGTGAAATAACTCACATGTCAAAAAAAGATCACGAAATTGTTGCTTTCCCCATCATTGAAAATTTGCTTTTAAAGAAGAAAATGTCACATTATTACTACTTGCCTTGTCTAAAGTAATTGTAGAGATTTTGTGCTGGAGCTTCCACTCCAACAAACATTCACAAATAGAATCACATAAGTAAGTGTCCGTATGTGGAGACTCTAGCTCAATAAAACTGATAATTACCTTCTTTAATTTCATGTTTCATGAAACTAATGGATAGTTAAACACAAATATCCTACAGTCGATTAGAGATTCAACAGTATGCAGTTAATGATACCCTATAAACATCTTTAAGGCAACATTTAAGTTTCTCTTTCTCACTCTCATAAACATTCATAAATCATTTTATGGTGTTCTTTCAAATAGTCTCAAAGTTAGGATTCAAAATTTTCAAAAATATATTGAATCAAATATGTTCAACCATCATGGAAGGATACTCATGTACAATTATCATTTTGGAAATTGTCTCTTATGAGTTACTAATCATAATTTTTAGATCATAGAAAATAGGAATCTCTAATTCAGTTCTAGCTTCAAAAGACAAAAATTTTAGCTTCTTCTGTCTTTTATCTGATAAGTCTATTAGTTGTTAACTCTTTGTTTTATCTTATCACATTCTTTAATGTACCTCAAAAGCTGTGAAGTTGTGCCTGATTTAGGTTTGTGGATCCTTACCCCACAGCAAATGCATTGAACAAATGATACTTCAATCCCATGAAATTCAATTTAACATCTAGAAAATACTCATAGATAGTTGATTTTTCCTTCTTATATTTCTTAGCTTGTATGTCAATACTAGTACTTTCAACAGACACTTCAACAGATTGAGAAATATTATGAGAACTATCATTTCTATCTTGTATTTAGTTGATATCGATTGAGATTGTTCAAAATTTGACATTGTAAATAATTAAACAGAAAAATAAAATATCACATGAGATGTTATTTATGCATGTGCCTAAGCTAGACATTATAACACAAACTTATGCAATGTCAAGTTTACATATAACTAAAAACGTAATGAAAAAGTATTCCCATTTCTGAAAGAAATGAAATTAAAAACTTATGCAAAGACTAAATATAATGAAACATCTCAATGAGATAAATCCACTAGCATGACAACATCTATATGTATATATGTTAAAAATTTAAGAAAACATGCTTCTTCCAAATATGTTTTTGCTGCTGTCACTAGAGTTAATACATGCTTGCTTCAAATGCAAAACATTATAACTCATTTTCTATTAGGCTTTAAATAACAGGAAACTCGCCTTTCATGATGCAAAAGATGCTAATGGCCATGAATACATATATGATATATACAAGCTTAAATATTAATAACAACAAAGGAATTAAACCATAAGAAAAGCATAACACTAATATTCTCTTTATTTCTAACTTGCTACTGATGTTGTATTGAAATAAGGAAATAACTGATACACTAATTTTTGTGCTCCCTGAGCCAGAGAGAGCCTAGCTCATGCCAGCATGATCAAAATCACAACAAAATTGATCAAACTAGCAAAATTATACTGAAAATATTAGCCAACTTAAATTTTTAATATGATCTTCTTGAATAGATTTAACATTGATAGATTACAAAAACAGGAATAGCATCGAGAGGCGTTTACATACATACCACCCAATTCTTACATATTTACATATCGAACTCCTATACTTTGCTTGTACATGTATACCACCCAAATCTCCCTTATCACATTAAAGTACCACTATTTTATCTTTTAGAAAAGGGAAATACAACTTTTCATGTATAGGTAAGCCGATTTAAATGTTAAAAGTGAAGTTTAAGTGTTCGATATGTAAATAAATAAAAGAAATGAGCAGTACATATGTAAAGAAAAAAATTTCTTTCACAGCATTTCCTGGAGGTCATAGCCTATAGCAATAGTTAAAAACTACAAGTTAACAACAAGACCACAGTAGAGTATGGATACAATCCACTGGAATGAGAAACTGAAAAGGAAAAGGCTATTGGAGCTATTGGATACAATCCACTTGAATGAGAAACTTCATAAAGAATCAATCAAAAGTAGATATTAGAAAAAATAATATAGCATCGCTGCATTACCATAAACCTATATAGCATAAATTTTTATAATTGGTACACCAATGTACAAAACCCTAACCAGTAATCAGAGCATAAATATATCACACTCATATTCTAGCCTCAAATGGAGATAATATCTTCTCAAATAAAAAAAAAAAAAATGAGAGACACGAGTAGGTCTAGTCGTAAAATAAGTAAATAAATTTGGATTTTACAAAGGTGAGTCACGACTCATAACTCAAAGCTCAGAAAATCACAAGCAAGAGAGACTAGCGAGTTGGCGAAAGACGCGAAGGAAATTAACACTATTATCGATGGAGAAAAGCCCAAACCTGACACTGGGAGCTTTCACTCGAATTTTCTCCCAAGAAGCATAACCAACACGAGCAAATGCGGAAAAAAATTGGGCTTTAGGGTTTTTAGGTTTTGTATAGTATACTTATATAATATATATTACTATATTATATAAGTAATATTAATATAAGATATTTAAAATTATAAATATATTAGTTACTGCCTATTTAGTACTAAAGTTTATTATATATAATCATTTATTTTTAATACAAGATATATAAAAATTATAAATATAGTTTTATTTTTCATAAATTAATTAATTTAAAATTACTTTTAGTCGACAACTATAATTCTTTATATATAATTATTTTAAATTATTTTCTATATCGAATAATAATGATTCGAACACATGTTTGTTCGTATTTGGTTCATTTATAAACCAAACTAAAAAAGTGCTCTTGTTCGACTCATTTGTTTATCAAATGAACCAAACACAAACTTCTCAGAGAGCCAAACACGAACCTTTCGTGAATGACAAGCTTTTTGATAGCCCAAGCCATAGAACTACCCTCTTTTAAGATTTTTGGTTGCTCGTCCTACCAAATACAAGTCCAAACCTTATAAAAATTATTCAACCCAACAAAAATTAACACGTCATTTTCTAAATTGTAAGTTTCAACTATAATATAAGATGGACAAACCACTGGGCCTCTTAGTATCCAGTGCTCCCTACTTTTTATCCATTGGCTTCCGATAAAAACTATTCTACTCAATCCCACTTGAAATTCTAAATATACATTTTTTAATCGAGATTTTTCTTAAAAAATATTCATTCATAAGATGTAATTAACTAAAGAGGCTTACCCCTTATATCAGACTCCAAAATTACGATAAACACTGCCCTTTCGAGATAGGGGAAAAACTTTTGGTATGTATCCCCATGGAGAAGTGATACGATCACTTTGATAGTGATTATATTGCAGTTTAATATTTTCATTTGTCGGGGTGATATACTATACATTGATGTCATATTCAATCACAAGTGAGAAATTTCAACTCTTATGCATGATCTCCACAGTATAGAAAGTATCCACTAATTTTATTCTTTATTTGGACAACTAATGTTCTATTACAAACCACAAGGGCATTAATATCACTATAAAATCTACATCTTGCAACACCAAAAATATTTTTCGGTTTTTCGTCAAATCTAATATAAAATTGACTCTAGCAAATGATACATTTATGACATCAACTTCAAAGTAGTAAGACCTCTAATATTTCATATAGCTCCATTTGCTAGGCAAACATTGCCAACAAAATTTAACTCACATGTGAAAAATAATTTAAACTAGAATAATTTGATTAGAAGAACTGAAATCTGCTAATTTTTATAGTAGTCTTTGCATCTATCATCTTTAATCACCAAAAAAGCATTACTAATTTTATAATAAGAAAATCTACAACAATCCATATATCAATTGATTCATCCTTATTTGGTGTTGTCATCTACTTCTTGCTCTTTCTTTTTAAAGCAAATTAATTATTCTTTTTGTGCACATTCTTTTAAAAAAGAAGCAAATAATCACTTTATCTACCCTAATTGTTACTTCTATCATGGCTAGAAAAGAACATTCACTTAGAGTATCTCCCTCTAATCCATAATAAAGCTTCAATTGATTAATCATTTCCATTCAACTTAGAAATAATATTTTCAGTAAAAAAATGAATTACTAACATCTAATAAACATATTATATCACAATCAAACGACACGATTTTATAAAATAATTCATAAAAAATATACAATAGCGATAAGCTTTAATCTTAATCAACAACAATCATATCAATATTTATCAAATATCACAAGATAGAATTAATCTCATTCAATGTTATATATTAAGCAAATCTTCGAGCATGCAAAGTTAATAGTATCATTTTTAATAAACATTATTACAGAGGCTTTAGTGATATACGAAAACTCTAATTTGAGTAACAAAACTTCTACAATCTCTACGTTATTTGTCAAGGACTTATTAAATAAACATGATTGAATCATTACGAGAGCCTTCTTCTCTGTCCTTTTTTATTTATGTTTCCATGCATCTTACTATAAGTGCATTTATAACTCTTTCTAAGATAAGTACAACATAGAGCATAGTTCTCTAAATGCCATATTTTCTGAGCAATTAAAATTCTCAATCTCTAACTTCATGGACATTATAGTATTTATAATCTCATGTTAAGCCTAGTCATTAGAAAAATAGTTTTCTAAACTCAAGAGGTAATATGATAAACCATACAACTACAAAAAGATAAAACATCATAAAAAAGAACACCAAATTTTATATGACTTGACTTGAATAAATCTATACCTAAGGTGGCAGATTTAGAAATGAATACAATTTTAAAAATATAAAAGATTATACATAAAACTAAAGATAGATAAGAATAATAATTTATCTAAGATTATAATCACATCTTATAAAGGTGAGGGCTAGACACAAATGAGACATTATAATTGCTCAGTTTACTCCCCATTCCTCTATTATAGGAACTCAAATGAACATTATTCTCTATATAGAATTAAGAACTCGTATTAGAATAAACAATATCCATAAGAACTCTCATTAGAATAAATAATAGCAAAAAACATTGCAAGTCTCTCTTCCACTTTCTCCTTCTTCAATCTTATCATGAAATACCTCATCACAAACCATCATCCTTTATTTTGTGCTTAAACATTTTATGAAATAAATTTAAATTTAAAGATTCTTAAATTTGAAAACTATAATCTGACAAAATTAAATGAGAATGAATTAATTATAAATTAGATTAGATAAATCTTAAAAAACAAGTATAAATCATACAATCACAATCATTAAAAATAAATCTGAACAGTGATGACTCTTTAAGTTAGATTTCATTAATCTTAAGAAATCAAAATCAAATCATATCCAAAACAAAAAATAAAATAAAATAAAACTAGACATAACACACTTCAAAAAAAAAAAAAAATAAGACTTTGACTTGAGCATGCCAAGAAGCATCAAAGCTTTAAATATATTGCAACATTCCACCCCATTCTCCATAAATGAGGGCTTATTTGAGAAAGTAATAATAATTGTAAAACTACTATGATAAAATGCAAAACAAAATCAGGATAAATGCTAGGTGCCAATATACTGAAGTCAACCATGAACTCTGGATTTAAATGTTTTCGAGACATTCACAATTTATATATTGTACATATACAAGTTTGGATACATATAACAACTCGGCCTTTGAGATTGTTCACTTTGTTTTTGACTAATATGCTATAAGTTGGATTGGAAAAAGAAAAATACAACAATTTTCAAATTAAAGTTGGCAAGGTTTGATTCGAGAAGCTATGGCCAAAAGCAAGTTACCAAAAAGGAAAAAGATAGAAGCTTGAAGAAGATAAATAAGAAATGCATATTGAAATATCTCATGTTTTCTAGGTTTTTATGTGATGTTATTAAACACTAAATAACATTTAGAACAATACACCAACCATAATTCTAAACAGTAAACAGTCTATAAAAATACAAAACTAATAAGTATTTGCAAAAACAGCCGCATATACAGCTATGCAGCGGAGATTATGTAAGAAGTTTAGCATTACAGTTAGCTGTTCATATAAATAGCAGAGTTGAAGGGTGTGCAATATTTTTCATCTTTGTAACATGAGAGACTAACAAACCATCGATTGCGTTAATCTGCTGCAAATGATAAATTAATAAGACCAAACCCTCATAGATTCCCGTGGGCTAATGCAGCAGCGAAATTTCCAAAATATTGATCTCTATAAAAGACTGGAGAATTTGAACTGGTAAAAACCCTAAAGGTCTCAATCTCCAAGTTAATGTAAGTCATCATAATCCACCTTCAATCGTGCTTCAGAACTTTTAATAGAAACGTTCTAGACACTAATGTTGCAATGTAAGTGGCAACAGTACTAAGGATTCCAATCAGAAGAACCATGTTGTCATATGCTGAACTCTGCATAGTATAAACTCTCAAGCCAATGGTGTTCCAGTAGCTTTCAGTCCAAACAGGATCCACTAACCCCGAAGGATCCGAGGCATTAGCAGGCAAGATGTGCCACGAGTTGGCTTCAAATTTCAGGCGGGTGGAGTAAGTAGGGATGTATCTGGATAATATAGAAACCACAATTAAAAAAATTTTAATTGAACCATGAATTTAGTTTATTAAAACCAGTAGCACAGTGTTGGTAATGAAATAAAGTTTTGATTTTGATTAATCAATCTAAAAAGGATCAGATTCATCGTGTAAATAAATTCACAGAAAACTAGAATTTTATCTACACTTTTCCTGGTTCAAGCAAGAAAGTAAGACGCACCTATGATATTATAAAGAATATAAGAAACATCAAATCTTATTACATAACATTAAAACTGTTTTGTGGTGCCTTTAGAACGCATGCTTCAAAGCACTTCTTACTCCAAGATGGCTCTAGGGCTTTATCAAATGAATATTAGGATATGAAATTAAAAAAAAACATTTTAAAAAGGGACATCCACAAACATACCACCTAATTCCTATTTATTTACATATCTAACACCTAAACTTTACTTTTTACACTTATACCAACCAAATCTTTTATATCACATCAAAAATACCACTATTTCAACTTTAAAGAAGTGAAATACATATCTTCACGCGTAGGTAAGGTGGCATGTATATAAAAATTGAAGTTTAGGTGTTAAATATGTAAACACATGAGCATTGAGTAGTATGTAAGTAAATCTTCCTTAAAAAAAATTTCCTCAAGTTTTTCTTCTAAAAAAGAATTTAGATTTCCCTAACCCCTAAATGAGTTACCTCGTTGTGGATTTAACACATCTGCTATTCTCAGTTTCTGCGGCTACACAGACCTCAGCAGATTCATGGCAGCCCACCTTGCAGGGGCTTGCATTTTTCTGTGGAGCTGAAGTCCTATCTGCAAGGAAATTCCAGACAAACCGAGAAGTATCATCCGCATATTGAGGATGCTGAGTTTCAAAAGGTGAGTCGACAAAAACTCCAACATAGTGACTTGGGCATATATTGCTTGGAGAAATGAATTGCTTAACAAGGCCACAAGAAAAACCCGGTTCACAAGTCAATAAGCATCCCACCAGTTCTTCTACCAAAGAAACATTAACTTTAATGGAGTTCAGTGCTATGAGATCCAAGAATGGGCTATCACTTGCAAGAATATATAGAGCTCGTGCAATGATAATGGAAGCAGCGGCAATGGATGAAGAATTGATATTTGCTGCATCATAGGGAATAAATCAAATAGTTAGAATTTAAGAATTAGAAGAGGATTTCAATGTATAATAAAAGGAAGGCCCACAAGGATTATCCAAATGACTATGGTAGAACTTATTGATGAAAGATGTGTCGAAGTCCTCCAAAACAATCCCTGACACAGAAGAATTCTGCAAAGAGAATAAAATTACTTAGTATATTGCTGGAAATGATAAGCAGGAACATCAGAAGTATAACTCAGAAATGCTCATACACATAAAAGAATCCTCGGAAAGAAGAATTCTCTGATACAAGAATAATTTTAATCTTATGGTAACATGAAATTCTGTAATGAATAGAGAACGAAAAGTTCTGTACATGCTCTTTGATACTGATATTCATATCAACTAAAAACTAATTGCAAGTTGCTTAAAGATTAAGTGATCTGAGCTCAGTCAATGGTCGCAGAAAGAAACATAAAATCTTTACATTGGATCCATTTGCATTTTGAATTGCTCATTTGAATTTTGAATTGTAACCGAGTTGGATAAGTCGGTTAAGAGTTTGTCTTAACATTTAATAAACCCGTACACATACCTATGTTGGATAGAAATCCTAGATCCGATGGATGCGACTTCATGGATTTTTGTGACAGAATTTCCTTATTGATGCCGTGTGGTTAGAAATTTCTATTAAAATACCGACTGCTGCTTTATGGTCCATAGTTCATCCCATTCTTACAGCTGCTAGTGGACTTCTCAAACATCATATTTCTAAATATAAATGTGGAAAGCAAAATTTTTATTATTAAGCAATTCCTATTAGTGGTTTCATTTTCCTATGCCTTTATTTCTTGAATCTTATGCAAACATAGATTCCTATCTTCTAATAATAAGTGCATTTTTTTTTGAAGGGCAATAAGTGCATTTTTAAGGTATATAAACAGTTTACGGTGTAACTAAGAATTATTTTGTGAAACTTGAAAATTTTCTAGGAGAGGGTATTTCATGCAAGCTTGTGGCTTCTCTTTTTAACGAATCCTCCTTTCATGCTTTTCTTCCTTGCTCCCTTATTCTTACTTTTTTTTTTCATTATTGATTGAAAATGGGATTAAAATTTTCAAGTTTACAATAATATGATTTAATTTTGTGCCTTTCTGAAATTTTCAATTGTGTGTGTAGCTTTTTATAGCCTAAATTCTTATAGTTATTAATTTCTGGCAAAATGCCACAAGAATTTCCTTAAAACTATATTTGAACAAATTTCATTGAATAAAGAAAATAATTGCTTAAGATTAATATTTATGTCTAGAAAAAATTATTGTTTTATAAATTACATGTTAAAACAGTATTAGAAACCCTAAACTTGGATAAGCCCACTATCAAATTTGACATAGATCTTAAAGTTAATTACAATGCTACAAGATGATGAATAAAGTATTTGGCTCATATAAAATAACAAAAATGGATACAATTTGAGCAAAAAAAGACAATTAATAGGGGTTCAAAGTAATAACCATATGTAAGATAAGAGCCATAATCCTGAGACATTTTTAGATCTAAAGGATAACATTTAAGAACGGCTTGAAGGACAAATTTCAGAATTTCAAAAACAAAAGGATCTGCTCAAATATTTCGTTAAGGTATTGCACCTAAAGTAACACTTAATTGCATTGAATGGAGCCTAAAATTGAAAGAAGAATGTTATTTGTGTAATATAGTGATCAACTGAACAATCAATTTTGAACCTCAAACAAAAAAAGTATAACGTGTTTAAATATTTTCTTAGATTCAAATATTAAGTAGCTAAGCTTTTCTAGAGTTAGTCAGTTATTAAATCTTTCAATAAAAGTCTTAAGAAATTAATCATGATTTAAATTAGAATTCATTATAGGTAAATGAATGGCTTATTATAGAGCTTTAAAATTTGAGAAATAATTGTCATCCTCCTGTTAGGACTAGTACACCACTGTTCAACATTTTCGCATATAAAGCCTATTTAATACAAACCACAGCGAGTACATTCAAGAACAACAACAACAAACTTTTATCCCTCTAAGTAGGGTCAGCTACATGAATCCATTTTCTCCATTGCGTCCTATTGAGTGTCATACTTTCATTTAATTCTAACAAATTAAGATTAGTTTTTATATAATATGCCCAAATCTTTCTAGGTCTACTTCTGTCTTTCTTAACATAAGTCGAATTTAAAATATCTACGCTCCTAATTTGATCATCAAATGTCCGTCGTTTAATGTGATCAAACCATCTAAGATGACTCTCTAATATTGTCCACCACTGGAGCTACACCAACCCTATCACGGATATATTCATTTTGTCTCTAAGTGTGAAGCCACTCAACCACGTAAGCATTCTTATCTCGGCACACTTAACTTAGTTTTATGCTTCTCTTATAAAGGCCAACATTCAGTGCCATAGAGCATTTCAGGTTTCACCACCATCTTATTCACCACCATCTTATAAATCTTATAAAATTTTCCTTTCAGTCTAAGCGGTAATTTTCTATCATACAATAGGCCCGAAAAATTCCTCCGCTTCAACCAACAAACTTGAATTCTCCTAATAACATCCTCATCTATATCACCATCACTTTGAACAATAGACTCGAGATATTTAAATCGTTCACAGCCAGTACATGTTAAAAAATTACATCTCATGAATATTTATTAAATGGAGAATTAGAAGTATAAAATTATATAAATTTATAAAACTATTCTAAATTTGCTATATTTAGAGTTGCACTTGAGCCTAAACAAGAACTTCTACTACAATTTATTTCTACATCTGAACCCTGATATTTAGCAAAGGCTAAAATCAAAATTTAAGTATGAGATTATACCCGTGATCATATATGAACTTCAATGTCGATAACAATATAAATCTATTATTGGCTTTGAAAGTGTAGATAGCATGCAAAATTGAGTATGCTAAATCAATCGAACAAATTGGCTCGTGTCATTCCTAGAAATTTGTCAATTGATATTATCCATATGTCAACAAATCAAACTGAACTTAATTATATTTGCCTATAAACTAACCAAAAAGTCATATTTAGAAGTTAAATTATTTATAAAATATATGCTAGTAAGCATATAAAAATATTTTTTTATTATTACTATGATAACTGTAAGTCCACCGTAGATGTTAACACAAGTTAGGTGGAATTCAAATAAAGTGATAAACTCAAGGTCTGTCTAAACCCAAAATGATTTCTTATAGAAACTTCTAACAAATTAACTAATAGAAAAACACGGCATACATAGTTACGCAATGAATTAAGAAGAAAGCATACAAGTTAATATCCAAAAAATTCTATTATTAGGCCAATTTTTTGAAGTAATTGAACTAATTTTTAATCATGAATCACAAATGAATGCCTTGGATTGTTATCCTTTTCCACCTCTTGGTTCAACATCAAATAAATTATTATCACATTTTCCATAAAATTATCCTATTCCTATTCATGAAAATTTTATTAATAAATGGGACCAAAAATTTAGAAATGTTGCTAAAAACATGAAACAATTGCATTGCATTCATTTTTTGGTTTGAGTTTTTATTTAAATTAGATTAGATAATTCGATCAAAGTTGAAGGAATTCTGCTGAACAACAATCCTATAATGAGCAATCCTAGATATGATGAAAGAAACTCATGTGATTTTCTTTCAATAATACCTTTTTATTAAATGTGAAAGAATTCTGTTGCTGTTACATGGTTAGGGATTTCAAAAAAGAAAAACCATTAGCTATATAAGAGCCATCCAACTCCTTCGGTTCTTAACTCAACTTGCAGGATTTCTATCTTGTCAAATAGTCAAATACACATGATCATGTAACAACTGAATTTTGCTGTTGTGCGGTGATTCTTATTTATGTTGCTCACTTACTAAATCCCATCATCATTGAGAAACATATCCCCATCCATGTGTTCTTAATTTTTTATAACCAAGCATATTTCTAAGGTATAGAAATAATTTATGGCTTAATAATAATTTTATGTTGAACTTGCACAAAAGATCATCTTCCATCTAACATTTTAGTCATTGATCAAATGTGAGACTTGAACAATAAAATTCATGTGAGGTTATCTCTATGTATAAGCATGGTGCTTACTTTTCAGTGATTTCTTCCCCATTGTTTTGCTATCCTTCATTTCACTTCTTATTCTTCTACATGTTTTTACATTATTGCTTAAAATTTGAAACAATTTCAAATTTTTTAAAGGTTTTGAAAGCTGTGGCTACTATTTAAATTTCTATTGTTGCAAGTGATTCTATTTGTGGTTGTTGTGATCTTCATTTTTCTATTCAATGCCTGGTAAGTCATAAATCTTTTGCAAAAAAAAGCTTTTAACCTCTTTAGATATACGTAGATGGTAAGAATTAATTTTAAAAGATTAATAGTTTGTCCTCAGAAATTTGCAAATTTGTTGCAATATTTTCCATACTATAAGTGAGAACAACATTATGATACTACTAGTATCAATGGCAGGCATACATGAAGAAGATACATTTTAGAGTTAATTACACTTACCTCACACGTAGATAATCAATATTCTACACATCACCCCTGTATTTTTTTTAATTAAACTTACCTCCCACTTCTGAATCACTAGACTAACGAATTGGTGACAAAATATAAAGTAATAATTAACATTTGAAGAGAGATGTGAATTCAAAAAAATTGATTGGGCTTAAAATGTACTACAACACATAACAATAAGAAATGTAAGTATAATTTCAAAATTACAGGAAGGTACATGTAATACAGGTTATCTATAGAAGAGCAATAATTAACTCTATTTTTGAAGTAAAATGTTCTCATGGCAGTCCTTCTAAATAATAATGTAATGTGGTTATGTTAAGCACTTTAAAGTTCTAGTCATTCATTCAATATCATTAAGCATCATTTAATTCATTATAAAACTAATAAGCATACTTACAATGAAATGAGATGCATAAAAGTCATTGTAAAAGGATAGACATGATACATTGTTACACAAACCTTTCTCAGAAAAGACATCAGCGAAGATGGTGGTACACCAGGATTTGATACATCAGCCTTTCTGATATTGACATTATCTGAACCGAGTGATATGCCCGCCTTCTGTAGGGCATTAAGCATTTCATTTGTTGAAGATGTATCCTGTACATAAAAGCATATGGATCATCTAAAAAGGAACTCTTCATACTTTCTTGCTATTCTTAATTCCAGTTTTGATGTAGTAAAATTGTTTTACTGACAAGTTCAACACAGGCCCAATTAAAGAGCTGATGAGCATTACAATAGGTCTTATCAGCAGGCCATACACATTAGTAAAGAAAAAACAGTTACGAGTACACAAAAATAAAAAAGGAAGGTCGGCAGAACAAAAATAAATAAATAAATAAAATAACAACTAGAACATCCACTATAACTATTCAAAAAGTAAAAGACGAATCTTAAAATTTAAGAGCAATCATCACTAAGCCGAGAGATCCAGCGGAGAGTCATGGCAGTGTCCTGGTTGATAACAATAATACTATGGAATGGTGCTAAACTCCAATAAGATAGAACTAGCAAACAAAAACTTAGCTCTAACTAGAAAGCAGATCACTTCAACCCCCTCACAATGTGGTGTTTCAATAATCCTTACTTTTCTATCTTCTTAAAGGTGGCTATTAAAAGTATATTCTGCTATCATCAGATTATTTTGAATAAACTTTTGTGAAGTCAACGTAAGCCAATATTAGATACTATCTTCTGTAATTCTTTTCTAGCAAACCGCAAATACGTAGGATAAAACTAATGCTGATGATGATTGTTCACAATTTCCTTTATATACAACTAAATAGCTTTAAACATAATTAGAATAACTGCACCAGAACAATTATAGCAAACCTATGCAAGAGTTTCATGATGCATTAGTATCGCTTATAGTAAATAGAACATACGATTTACATATTCCCTTCCAGCATATTTTCTTTATCATTGACTTTCATTTATGCCAAAAATGAAAACCATTTTAAAAAAATGTATGGATGAAATATCAGTACCAATTCAATTACTGTTCAAAGTACAGACTACCCATTCAAACACTATTGCAGAAACCAACTAATAATAAATGCCGTAATCTATATCCTAACTCAAGACTTAGGCTCTGTTTGGCGCAGCTGCAGCTTCCCAACTTTTCAGCTGCAGCTGCACTGCCCCAGGTAGTTGCCGTGGGGAAGCAACTGCGAGGAAGTTGACTGTCTGTTTGGTGCAGCTGTGTGAAAACAACTGCAGAGTAGCTGTTTCTGGAAAAATGACCATTCTGCCCTTGTTTGGTAAAACTGTTAAAAAAAAGACTATAACAGTGAAATTTTGGTAACTCCATACGCAAAATTTTTTATGTAATAAATTAGTTGAATTTGAAATTGTTAATTACGTAATAAATGTAATTTAACTTGATTAAAATATTTTAAAATGTTAACTTGTTAGATAGGTGAACATATGAAATAAAAGACTTGTAATAAGAATGTTCTTATATTCGATGAAACGAAAGTATTAAATATTATTTTCATTTAGGATTTAACATATTATTAACGAACTAATTAATTTAACTATTTTTTATCACAAATATCGATATCGATGATTACTTAAAATAAAGCCAATTAAAGGGATGTGTGTCCAACTTTTTTTTCCCAAATTGAAATACATCTTCATTCATAACTTTTATTCACATCAAATAAGCATAAAGAATGTCAGTAGAAGCCACTTCATACGGGGCTAGGGAAACAAAACAGGCATTGACGATTGACTTGCAAACCACACTGTAAAAGTGCAACATTAATTTTTAAACCCTGAACTAGAATTTTACAAGACATAATAGCAATACTTGAAAGAGAAATTCTCTCCTCTCCAAACTAGAAGGTGATTGAAAGAATGCCGACATCTTTTGACAACTTTCTACTGAGTTCAAACATCCAGAAATGCTCGAAATTATTAATAAAAAAAACCACACAAATATCACTAATTGATCTTGGAATCTAACCTGGGTATTTCTCAAAGCTCAAAATGCAAACAGAGACCCCTGTATTTGTCACTTGCAGTGATGAGATGAAGAAGATGATCTTCGGGACTTGCAAACGACGGAGAGCGCCTGGGCATAGCGAAGCAGGAGATTTTTTTCAAGCCTTTTTTCTAACCTTCCGGCTTTGAAATGATGAAGCAGAGTAACAGGAATCGTAGGATCGCAAGAAGAACAAAAGGCGGAATCGCAGGAATCCAGGAATCGCAGGATCGCAAAGAACAAGGAATCGCAGGATCGCAAAGAACAAGGAATCGCAGGATGGCAGAAATCACAAGAATCGGGGAATGAAGAAGGATTGAGAGCAGGAATCAGGGAATCGCATGAGCGCAAGAAGAAAGGAATCGCAGGATTGCAAGCCGAATGAAAAGCGGAATCGAGGGCACCCAGGTAAAATGCGGAAGAAGCTAGACGGGGCCGCGGGAGCGAAGCGGGGAAGCAGGGTCGATCCCGCGGCCCACTTTTCCCTCAGATCCGCGGCCGCCGCGAATCAAACGCCGTGCCAAACTACTTATTTCTGCGGCCTCTCGCCGCACCGCTCAGAAAAAGCAACGCCAAACACACCCTTAGCATCTATTTGGGACAGCTTTCTGTCAATTTTGCGTTTCAGACCGTAATCATAGCTGTATTTGAGGAACTATTTTTTGTTGCTTTCTAGAAATTTCTGTAGTGGGAAGTCGTTTTTTTCCTTCTGACTTGTTACAGTGCAGTGGTTGCGAGAAAGCTGCTCTTTGATTTTTCGGAAAAAAAGATATATATTTATAATTCCGGCAAGAGTTTTCTAAGAAGTTATCTTCTCCACCACAATTTCACAACCAACTTTTTAAAAAGCTGCAACCAACCTAAACAACCCTTAATGGCCCCACCATCTTTTCCTCACTCCACTCACCAAACCTCGCCCATCCTTCTAGTTATAGAATTCTTCTACGGTCTTATGATAACCAACCAGAAATCCACGCATTCCAACCCAAGTACTTATCTTGACAACTAGGACCAAAACCCAAACCTCCTAACATTTCAACCATTTATTCCTTTCCTTTGTTCCCAGACAATCAAGAAAGCATGTTATTTACATTGTCACCTACTATAGCTTCATAAGCTTAACTTGTTATACAAGAAAATTAGGATTTTTAAGTCAACACTCACGTCATCGAAGAATTCTTGCAAGATTACCATGACCTTTTCAGATAAGAGAATGATATGTAAGAAAACCAAACACAGACCTTCTTCTCTAGCTAAATCTCTCTCATCCATCATAGTCCCTACGAACCTTCTTAAATGCCCAAGCTTTTCATACTCTTCCCACCCTCTACTAAATGGAGAATTTGTTTTGTTACTTTGTAAAGATAATTTCACATCTTAATTTTTTTTAATTTCAGCGACAATTCAAGAAACATTGATTCATCTACGCTAATATATATATATATATATATATATATATATACGACATCTCGAGACCAGGAAGCCGCAACAGGAACCAAAGTTTCCAAAACTTGCAACTCAAAAAGGCTGAGGAAACAGTAAAGAAATAATTAAACCAAGTGATTAGAACAGAAATAGTGGTCCACAATCCTCCAACCTCCAAAGCAGCAATGTCAATTAAACCGGACCTATAATGCCCGCCTAAAATATGGAAATGCAATAATAATTTGGAGCCATGGGCCTCCAAATAAGAGAGATCTTGCCCGTTAAAAAAACATGGTGAATATAGAGCATAAATTCTAGCCTCCATTCTTCAATCTTAACCGTAAAACCAGACCTATTACTGTACCTCCCAAGTGCCATATCTTCAATAGCAAACCTCCCAACCATCATCACAAATAAAGCAAAGGAGCCCTGGGCCTCCATGCTTAAGATATAACACCAAGCACTGTACCTCCCAAATGCCAAATCTCCAATCACAACCCCCCAACCCATAACCTGAAATAACCCCCAGCTTTAGAGCCACCAACACCAAGTCCAAGTAGGGAGCCCTGGGCCTCCCAAATAAGATCGGAA